GAAGGAAGGGTGGAATCATCGCCGAGGCAAACGTGAATACATAAGCAGAGATTCCAACTTTGCTCCGGACAGCAAATATGTATTTTAAAGTGGTAATTTATCAATTGTGATTCTTGGTTTAATAAATTTAATTTAGTAGATTTTTATCCACCACTATTTCTAAATAATTCGTAGGCTTATATATTTCACCACACAAGAGTACTCTTGTTATGCTATGTCTTTTAAAAAGAGTGCAAAAATAATCAAATATTTATAAAATTTACTTCGCAGTTGTATACCGTTATTTCAACTATTTTGGCGTGTCCGGAGCAGTTGGCATTTCTGCGTAAGTACTGAAAAGTGGTGAATCATATAAGCCTACGAATTATTTAGAAATAGTGGTGGATAAAAATCTACTAAATTGCATTGATTAAACCAAGAATCACAATTGATAAACTACCACTTTCAAATATATATTTGCTGTCCGGAGCAAGTTGGCATCTCTGTAAGTGCTGTTATATGTATTCGTTCATGCGTCAAATTGACGCGTGTTCGTTGAGATAAGTATAAGAAACGTCCGTAAACCTAGTGTTAAAGGAGAGACAATATAGTATGTATTCAGTCTCTATTATGTGAGTTACCAACTTTGCTTGTTTTGAAGTTGCCGCAGTTTGTTTCAAGATTGTTAACGACTAATTTTACAGAGATGCCAACTGCTCCGGACACGCCGAAATAATTAAAAAAACGGTAAAACGGTAACCAAGAATCACAATTGATAAACTACCACTTTAAAATATATATTTGCTGTCCGGAGCAAGTTGGCATCTCTGAATTTATAGAATCGATTTTAAAGCTTTATATTAATTATTTATTATGGTGACAACACGATATGTAATTTTGCGCCATTCATTTAAAAAGATAAAAGCAGAAGATTAAAAAGATAGGAGCTATGTTTCCTTTCTTTTTATAATTCAATGTGTGCGTAACTATCGAATGAGGGAGCAAACATGTTAAATGTAATCTTTCAAGGCAAAAAAAAAAAAAAAAAAAAAAAANTGTTTTTCTGTAATTCTGTATTGATGGCATCTGTATCAAAGTCCACAGGCAGGCCCCGGACCAAAACCTTAATATATCTGGCTTGCAGTGTTATTTCAGGTTTGCTGGGCGGATCCCGTACTTTGTCGGTATCCTCCTTAGGTTTTGTTGTCGGCAAGATAGTGACGTCATCTGTTGAATTATGTTGGCTAGAAGAAGGACAGCTGTTTGCAGATATGAGTGTAGAATTATCTTCAATTGTTTTGATTGCATTTTGCTTTTTCTTCTTCTTTTTTCTTTTCTTTGCAGGTGGTTCTGTGCTATTGTTAATATTGATGTCCGTGTCTGTTTCTGTATTCGGTGTTGTATTCAGGTTTTCATCTTTATTTTCCATGGTTATGTCTTCAGTGCTTGGATTAATTTCAGTCATTATTGATTCGAGTTGAATGGAGTTTTTATTCATCTCCTTGTTTTCTTCCGCTTGAAAGTTTTTCCTCTTCCACCTGACGTGATAAGCTGCATTTGTCAGTTTTAGGAAGTAGGAGTATTCATAGTCTCCAGAGTAACTTGATCTTATTTGAATGAGCAGTTTGCTAAGTAATTTATCTAAACCAATCAGCTCCTCTGTATCAAACTGAGTGTAAAACTCTACGAGATCGTCAATATGTTCGTGTTCAACTGGTGGAAAGTATTTTTTTGATATCCCACAGGTAGCAATGATTTCTTCTAATGACGTGGATTCTTTGCAATGCGACGGTGAATTACGACCAGAGAGTGAGACCTTTCCACCACGAGCTGTTTTATGATACGGCATGACTTGAAAAAACAAAATGGCGGGCTCAAAATCCAGACATCAAAATGGCCAGTTGTCAGTATTGTCTCTCCCGACTCAGGAACCTGACGAGATCAAAATCTGTATCACTCACCTCGTAACGTTCAGGATAATCAGCATCAATTCAGCATAACCGGCATCGCAAGGGAGAAGAGAACGTCAGTAGAGCATGATCAGCATCAGTTATCGGCAGCGTTTTCGCATGGCATCATTTCGAAAAACTCTTCCTTAAAGTGACATCACCGCATCTAATCCGTGACACATGACATCAAGTAGCGTAACCAGTTCGTGAAATTCCGTGTGTGGATGATTTGCGTAAGTACCAAAAAGTGGTGAATGATATAAGCCTATGAATTATTTAGAAATAGTGGTGGATGAAAATCTACTAAATTGAATTGATTAATCCAAGAATCACAATTGATAAAATACGACTTTAACATATATATTTGCTGTCCGGAGCAAGTTGGGATCTCTGTAAGTGCTGTTATATGTATTCGTTCATGCGTCAAATTGACGCGTGTTCGTTGAGATAGGCATACATACCTGCCAACTCTCCCGCATTTTGCCGGAGATTTTATTTTCATATTTAAAGTGGTAGTAAATATATACTATTTTTTCTTTTATAAATTTAATTTTTAAATGATTTTGATCACCACTATTCTTACAAAAATCAAGCTGATATATTAATATGCGTTACTATCATGGTTGACAACTTAATTCTTTTCAAATACAACGTATTTGTTTGCTTAAAATTGAAGTTTTAATTCCATTTTAATACCACTGGGAAAAATGATAATGGAAGGGATTAAAAGTTGGCACGTCTGGGTATATAAGAAACGTCCGTAAACCTAGTGTTAAAGGAGAGACAATATACTATGTATTCAGTCTTTATTATGTGAGTTACCAACTTTGCTTGTTTTGAAGTTGCCGCAGTTTGTTTCAAAATTGTTAACGACTAATTTACAGAGATGCTAACTGCTCCGGACACGCCGAAATAATTAAAAAAACCGTAAATAACTACACAGTAAATTTTGCAAATATTTGACTATATTTGCTTGCTATATTAAAGGCATAGCATAGCGTAAGTGCTGTAAAGTGGTGAATTACATAAGCCTACGAATTCATTAGAAATAGTGGTGCATAAAAATCTATTAAATTGAATTTATTAAACCAAGAATCACAATTGATAAACTACCACTTTAAAATATATATTTGCTGTCCGGAGCAAGTTGGCATCTCTGAATTTATAGAATCGATTTTAAAGCTTTATATTAATTATTTATTATGGTGACAACACGATATGTAATTTTGCGCCATTCATTTAAAAAGATAAAAGCAGAAGATTAAAAAGATAGGAGCTATTTTTCCTTTCTTTTTATAATTCAATGTCTGCGTAACTATCGAATGAGGGAGCAAACATGCTAAATGTAATCTTTCAAGGCAAAAAAAAAAAAAAAAAACCTTTATGAAGTTTTGTTATTTTAGTTCGTACGATTTAAATGAATATGAATATAAATTTGTTTCTCTCTGGAATAGAATGCTATGTTAATTATAAAAAAAAATAGTGCGTGGAGTTCCTCCTCGCGGAAGAAGTTAAACTTCGCAATCTGCGACGTTAATTGTTGAAGGATCACTAGTTCTATTCAACGATTCTTTTTCCTGCTCCGCTCGCTTCCGTGCTCTGTAATCAGGGTAATATTGTGCATTTTTCCCTCGTGGACCTCTTGAACCAGTGCTTGTGTTTGTCTCATCGTCTCGCCCTGGAAAATGTATTTGTATTAATAATGCATGTGAATGCGTCATAATGTAATTTCAGAAGAGAAACAATCAATTGATATTCACAAGAGACGTACCTTGACATAACCTTAAATCCGTCGCATTGTCCGTGGGATTGTTTTCACTCATCTTTTACAATTGTTATCCACTAAATTTGAAAATAAAAAATACTACCCTATTTAAATTATATGTGTATCAAAACAAACTAAAAAAATATTTATAGAAAAACAGTACTTTAATTATTTTTATGCTAATGAGAACCAAAACAATATGGAAATGAATGAGGGAAAACTGGATCCTACCGCGCGATTTCCCGGCCAATAAAATTGTAGCGTTAAATGTTTAACGCAACCTTGTTGGAAGTCGTATAAGAAGTATAACTTCAATAATTATTTGAAACTTTCTCTTAATTATGTTAATTCAATTACATTCAGCTGTTAACAGCTCGAAAAGCAATAGAGATTATCTTTCCAATCAACACTAAATGAAAAGTGTCTACATTTTGCAGAAGATTTTTTTTTAAACATCTTCTTTAATTTTTTTTCTAACATGTATTTTTTACTCACAGAAATATTTTTAAACTCTTCAAAACTATAAACCAATTCCATTTTTATTACTTCTTCTTACTTTTATTTATTTATTATTACTATACATTTTTAGGCGTGTGGTGAATTATATATGGCGAGTTGTGAAATTGAAAAATAATTTGATCTAGGATGAACCGATTAGAAAAATTAAATTTACTTAATAGAAAAAATATAATTGCCTTAAAAGAAAGAAAATATCAAGATAAGTATTACTTAATTCGATAATATAGTTCATGCTTAGTAGAGTTATGCTTAGAAAAGTCTAGTAAAGAAAATACTTTGTGAAAATGATTGCAATCTTTTCGAAAAAAGCTATTTTAATGAAAAAAAAGAGTTAACAATAAAAGAAGCAGCAAGAAAAGAGCAGTGTAAATTGAGTAAAATAAACTTTTTTAAGCAGTTAAAGACGTAACTAGGCTGTTGTTTCAGAGGGGGTTAAAATAGTCAGCCATGATGATCTAAAAAAATGGCGCATCATAAAGTTTAAAATTTTGTTAAAAAGAAATTGTTCATAATTTATTTTGCAAAATGTAATACAGTTAATAATTTTCTAAGTAATACAGTTAATGATTTTAATAGTTGACTTATTAATATTTCAGTATTAAGTCATGTAATACCATGCACTCTTAATGGTATTACAGGTTCAAAAAATCATTTAATTTTATAATTTACTGAAACATTATTCTCTTCGATAAAAATTTTATCTGAAATTTACTATCGTGCAAAGGTCTCTAATCAAACGTAATATTATAGGTTGTTGATTGGAAATGTTTGAAAATAATGCATAATTCTATTCTATTTTTAAACTTGTTCAGTATGCTTATCATCAAAAATAGAAAGTCAGCTCTTTGAAAGTCACTTCAAATCAAACGCATTTTTCATATCAAGCAGATATAAAGTGAATTGTGCTTTTCCTAGTTATCGGTTTCCGTACGTCAGCGTAAGTATTGGATGAATATTTTTGTTTATGATAATAAGAATTAGTTAAACTAAAATTTTTACAAATAATTATAGGTTCTGAATATTTAAATTCCTTACCGTAATTTTCTATGTATACCATAAATGGAACATTGATATTCATTCCTTTAGAATTTGTTCTTGTATGACTTAAAATATGAAAAAAACGAAAAAAAAACGAATATTCAATTGAGTTGCTTGCAAGTATTTAATTTTATTCGAAGCAGGTTACACTAACGATTAAATGGTAAGATGATAAAAAAATTCGTAACTCAAGAGTAACCTATACATGGGTAACCTATGCAAAAGTTTACACTAACAAATAAATAGCAAGAAGATAAAAAATTTACTATTTAAGAGTACCATATACCGATATTTAAGAGTAACATATACCAAATAACATACACAAAAGCATAGGCACATACACTCGGAGTAGCATGCATATACATTAAGGACTAAATAGCAAGGAGATAAAAAATTCCATATTCAAGAGTAACATATACCGAATAACATACACAAAAGCATAGACACATACACTCGGAGTAGCATGCATATACATTAAGGACTAAATAGCAAGAAGATAAAAAATTCCATATTCAGGAGTAATGTATACCGAATAACATACACAAAAGGATAGACACATACACTCGGAGTAGCATGCATATACATTAAGGACTAAATAGCAAGAAGATAAAAAATTCCATATTCAAGAGTAACATATACCGAATAACATACACAAAAGGATAGACATATACATACGGAGTAGCATGCATATACATTAAGGATTAAATAGCAAGAAGAAAAAAAAATCCGAAATCAAGAGCAACATATACATAGGTAGCAAATACAAAAGTACGGAAACAATTCTATACTAATTCTATGTAAACAATATTTTTAGAAGTAAATGCTTTGGAAAATTCTACATGGCGAAACAGTTGGCTCAATTTTTGAAATCATGCTTGAATCTTTTAGAAATAATGTCCTTTTTACCCATGGAGTATTGGGATCGACCAAATAGAGGAGAAGAAGTTAATAACTTTTTTTAATTCCAGTACCAGCAATTTTGAAATAATTTAATAGGACTGTAACATTTATCCAAGAATGTTATTGAATTATAGTGTTATTAAAAAAGGAAAAAAAAGCTTTTAATTTGATCATATTTTTGTCGATGGAAATTTTGTTAGGGTGAAATTGAAACCATTTCTTAAAGATTCAAGTGAGCTCGCTCAAATTGTGTCAATAGTTTTGCCATACAGGCCTGAAATTGAGACAGAAAAGAGAAAAAAATAATGGTTGAATCATTTCAATAACAGATGGCTTTTAAGAGGAGTAAGTCTATTTTTAATTATAAACTCAGTATTATGAACTTTTTCTGACGGAAGAAGCAGTTTTATATATGTATTGTACCCGTTAAAAAAGTTTGTTTGTTATGGATATTTACACTTTCCAAAAAAACAGCTGTAAATGAAATTTTTAGTTGACAACTTTTACTCTTTTCCGTCATGAACTTTTAGTCCTGTTGCGATGCAAAATCTTCCAAATCATTTGTTACTAAAAGAAAGATTGTTGATGTAAAGTACGAAGTGTTTCCATAATTTTGTGCAACCCCTCTTTGCTGTCCTTCCTAACCCTTTCTGGACGGGCGATTCATAAATATATTCGTAAGGAATCAGTATCAGGATGGTAAAATATTAAAAGCGGTAGCTTAAGTTTGGACATAGCTAATTTGACGGATTTATTTTTGCTTTCACTTTAAATCTAACACATCCAATTCATGTGTGCTAAAAGTGTAACTATAAAATTTTTAGTTCGAAATAAGTAGTGGTGAATTAAATAAAGAAAAGCATCATTACCCCGCCCACAAATAAGCTAATAGTTTTGTTACCAGTTTTTATCTTTTTTTACCCTGATTATCGCCACCCTGAGAATGCATATATGACTCGCCCTTCTCGAAGAGGTTAAAAGCATCAGCTACCAAACATCAAGAAAAAGGCCAGAATGTTTTACACTGCTTGGAATAAAATCTTTGTATGCTAGTGTATTTCAATTCCTTTCTTTTTGATATTAATTTAACCCTTTAATGGGCTCTTTATTTCTAGTAAAGGTAAATTAAAATATTTTTGGAATTGAAATTGTTTTAAGAACAGTAATTGATGCTGGATATTGGGGTTATCTCGGCGTTTGGCGCGAAGCGCCACTAACCGATTCATCGATTCTGTTTTGTTGTATTCTGGGAGGTCCTAAATATCTTTGAAGTTGTAGTATGTTGTAACGACAAATCAAGTCCTTAAAGAAGTAAATCTTTAGTTTNTTAGTACTTGAGTTGTATGATAAAGTTAATAGTATTTTGATAGTATGCAGTCTGAGCATAAAAAGGCGGTAATTGGGCTGAAATTCGAATTATCACGGATTATATCAATATCGAACAACTTACTGAAATCTAATGTGGTGCATGATTTTGCGTCGCTATAAAATTTTGTGGTCAATTTAGCTATAAAGCAATTGATATCATCAATGTTTAAGTCTTTTTTGAGTAATCTATTGCTAATCGCCCTTGGGGCGCCAGTCATTGTGCGTAAAAATTTACCTTTTGTTGTAGATAGCTTCTTTTTTAGGTACAGTAATTGATATAAAAAAAAACTCATTTAGTTTATAAGAATGCCATTTTTTTTGGTGGTAAATATATTTAACATGACCTATTAGGAGCTTACTGACTTTTATTTTTCTTTATTTATGAAATACATTCCTTAAATGCTACAAACTTCTAAAGGAATTATGTATTTTATAACTTTTATACGTTTTTTAAAAGTGACAAATGGTTACCAATTTTATTCCAACTCACTTCAAGAAAGCTGAAGTTATTGAAAAATGGAAACCTAAATTAAAAGTGGTAAAACGTGGTGGTAAGTATACTTACTACGGCCTTCAAAAGGGTTCTTACTGGTGGGTCACGCTAGATTGTCTCATCTTGGCAGCGCACCGGAGTAGAAACTGGCAACAATAAATTTCATTTTTTAGTTTTTTTCCGGGAATGATAAAAATCCATAACTACCAATTGTTTTTAACGGATGCAATTTTTATACTGAATTGCTTCTTCGCCGTGATAAATTTCCTTACAGTGAATTGTTATTGTTGAGAATAGATTAACTCCTCCCGAATATTATCTAATATTGAAATAGTTCTTCTACCAGTATTTTCACTTTTCCCGGCGTGAACGCGTTAAGTAGGTGTGGTGTGGCAGTTAGGGCTAAGTGACGGAAAGCAAGATATTGCTTGTCCCCAGGAACCCCGGTCAGTGTCAATATTTAAGCTGATCGGTCTGTGTAGGGGTCTGGAAACTGGCCTTGCATTAGGAAGGTTCTGGGTTCGGATCCCTGGCAAGGCATGGATGTTCTTTCATTCTCTGTACTATCTGTCCTTACTGTGGGAGCAATGTTGGACCACCTAATATGGTGCCCCTGAAAGAGGGGTCAACAAATCCGCCCTATTGATACATAAATTGACAAAATATTAACACTGGTGGGATTCAATCGCAGCTACCCTTTTGACTAACATTTCAAAGCATTCATATTTAAAGCGAACACATTCTTTACATTTATTTTCAATAGTAAACAGAAAAAAAATGTTCTAGGAAAGGTGTAGCTAATTTTAGTTTCTTTTTAAAAAAATTTTGAATTTCATTGTTCACCAATTTCCGCATTTTTAGTCACCTGTGGCAACACTGGTAATAGTTTCTTTTTCGAATCTTTTTTCCATTTAAAATCCGTTTCTCCAACAAATACAATTAAAATAATAACGCATAGAAAACGTGTGTAAAAAAATTTGCAACAATAAGTAATAAGTGACGGAATGAGTTGTAAAAAGGAAATTTAATGCAATCGAATGCATTTTTCAAAGTAAATTGGTAAGTTATATTTCTTTAAACAAATAATAATAAATAAATAAATAAAATTGAATAATATTTTTTTCTATTACGGGGCTGTAGCGGATCGCACAACCCTCACCCTGGCCTGGTTTAAGGTTAAGGAAAATCAATAACGGAAAACTAACAAACTTTTAATGATTCTGAAAATTACTTTTATTATGCTTATTATTTATTTATTTTTGTATGAATATGTATTAAATAGGAATGAAATAATAAAATGTTTGATTTATATTTTGATTTTAGCTTCTCATAATTAAAAAATAAATTTTTAAATTTTAATGTCATTATTACAAAGGGGTAAGAGTTCATTTATATAAATGTTTTAAAAAAGCTACTTTTGATTAAAAAAATAATTTAATTTTATTCATTGAAATTTTGAATTTAAATGAAATAAGAAAGTATAATATTTCCAGATTTATTGTAACCCTTTTACATTTGAAAAAGAAAAATTAAAAGTTAAGGTTCACACATTTATTTAAAATAATTTCTATATTAATGTAAAACTATAAGTTGTATTGCTAAATACACTTACTAATTAATACACAATATAGAAATAAATATCTATAAACCAATTGTATATTTAAATAAATAATCCCCATAATCTAAAGCGGTAAGATGTTAATTGATTTAAAACTTTATTCAATTCAAAAAATTACATGAAAATTCGATTTCATTTCTACTGAAGAAAATTGAAAGTCCTAAAAACAGAAATAATAATCTGTGCAACAGAACACTGGTATTTCCAAGCGTAAGATTATTTATTCCTCATAAGACTAACTAGATTTCTTATTTCTTCCTTTCAAATGAAACGCAGCAACGGGCACGCACGCCATCTATCGAGTCCATCATACATGAAAAACTTTCGCGAAACAAAGCTAACACGTTGAATGCCATGGGGGTCATCGGTGACCGGCATTGAGTTTGTCCGTAGCGCCACGAGGGTCACAGGTGACCGGCGAAGTTAAGATTATTAGAAACACATAATTCGAGTAAAATATTATTATCGTTACTGAAATGGTTTGAAGAAAGTAATACAATATAGAACACACAAAAATAGT